CAACAGTTCTCAACTCAGTCAGTATCATCAGCGTTTAGTGGAATGAGCCTTGACAGCTCCAGCTCCAAGTACCGGCTCATTTGCATTCGCACCTTTTACGCAGCAGCCGCAGTCTCAGCAGCAACAGCCCTTTTACATCTTCGGTCGTTCACCTGCTCAGCAACAACAACAGCAACAACAGCAACAGCAGCAACATCCACAGCAATTTCAGCAACAGCAACAACCTCAACAACAGGGTATTGTTTTTCGGTCGCCGAATTAACTTAATAGCATACAAATCAAGACCACTATACATTTTAACGGAGTTGATTTTTACTCCTGGAGCTTCGAGTTTGAACTTCTGGCACAGTCTGCCGGGCTATGGCCGTTCTTCACCGGCAAGTTTACATATCCAGTGATGGGAACACAACTGGAGCAGCAGAGTTTCTTGCATGCCTCTCTCGGGGCGTATACGGTTCTTGTTCGAAACTTATCGCCAAAGGAGCAGCTCGGCGTTCGATCTTTCCATTCAAGCTTTACGCCAGCTGAAACTGCATGGAAACACTTAAAAGGGGTGTATATGGCGCAAAATACAATCACAGTGAGTAAGATTCTTTCGCAACTGACAAATGTGCAGATGATGACAAACGAGAATGTCATGGATTACGTCAATCGTGTACGCACACTACGAGATCAATTGGAGAAGAGTGGTGGATACTTCCCTCGTGAGATGCATCTCATGGTTCTTCTTGCTGGACTTGGTCCCGAGGGGCGACAAACGCGCGCCTTCTTGCGCATGAACCCGTATATCTCCGAAGTCGAGATTTCCTCGTATCTTCAAGCAGAACAACAAGATCTTGACTTGCAGTCACAACGCAATCAGAAGAAGGGGTTACACTTAAGTTTTTACTCAAACCCAGTGCCGCAACAACGACTCCCCCAAAATATCCCTTCTGTTATTTCTGCAAGAAACCAGGACATACTTACCAGACTTGCAGCAGTCGGCATCAAAACCGTCGCAGTTCTTCACAACCATATCATCATTCGCAGCAGTTACCGAAGTCACATCAGCCAATGTAGTAGTCGATGTCCCAGACACAGCAGATGCAGAAACCACCACCGAATATACCTCTCTCACAGCACCGTCCTCCGGTCTTTCCATCTGCAATATCAGGAAAAGGAGTTTTTGGATGTGTTACGACAGTTGATGTTTCAGATACCGATTTCGAAACACAACTTGAAGAAACCACCAATGCAGAGGGCATTCCCTTACCGCAAGTTTACGCTAACCTTGCTCGAGTCATTTCAGGACCCAATACTTGGTATCTCGACAGCTGTTGTGGTTGGCATATGTGCTTCGCTGAAACAAGCTTCATCACCAATCAGCGTCCACTTCGTCGTCCGATACCTGTCACAGTTGCAAACGGACAAACTATCATGGCCAAATCCATCGGAAGTGTAATGCTCGAGTCCGTCGACACGGGATATTCCTTACATGTTACCAATTTCCTTATCGTCGTCGGCCTTGGTTTTAATATCCTCTCCACAGCTCAACTCTTGGCACACAAGATTTGCACACAAGGCAATTGTGATACAATGGATCAAGAGTTATGGCACAGTTTGACAAACACTTACCTTGGTCGCGCTGCTACTCAACATGGGGTATCCGTTCTTCAGTTCACGGCACAGGGCACCTCTGGCGATTCTGAACGCGTCCTCACTCTTGGTCCCTGGGATCATCCCGACGACACCGATTATCAACAAGTTGATGTTGATTTTCGTGCAACTACCGTACCCACGACTTCTCGAACCGCAGCTGCCGTTCTGACCGCTCTTGATACTTGGGAGTTTAACACCGCCGATGAAGGCGCCAACGCTTGGCAAACGTTTTATAACGCTCATGCAGCTTTCCAAGGAACTCCAGCTCCATCTTGGGGAGAAATCAGTGGTCTTCGAGCAGCGGTTCTTGATAAAAACAGTCTTCTCTTACCTGACGGCACGGAGATGAAACCACAGTCTTGCCCAATGGTTTGCACCACGTGTCCGATCACCAATCTTACCCACGACCCGTTTCCGAGTCATTCTCCTGGCTCGATTCGTTATCGACTGATATTCTTAACTTACCTGAAGCAGGACCTAAAGAGGAGCAGTATGTGATTACCTTTATCGAAGCATCTACTCGCTACGTTTGGACAGCCAACCTTCCTGCACGTTATCTCGCCCATTCGGTCTTCATCGCATGGCTCGCTGTCGCTGAAAGAGAGTCTGGAGCAAAACTACAAGAATTTCAGAGTGATGGCGCAAGGGAGTATACAAGCAACAATTTCACAGACTACCTCCAAACCCTCGGCATCAAAAGGAAGCAGTCTCTGCCACATGCACACCAACAGATGGGGGTAGCAAAACGGATGAATCGAACTCTGCAAGAGAAGATGCGTGCTCTGTTGACGCAGGCAGCTCTTCCTCCTCGTTTTTGGCCATATGCGATGGAACATGCCGTGCTGTTACATAACCTGCTGTCATCAACATCACTGCCATAATTTTCTTCTCCCCACCTGCAGTGGACACGTACAGTGGGAAGTACAAAATTCTTACGAGTTTTTGGGTGTGTCGTGCAGTATCGACCTCCAACTGCAGCACTTGGCAAATTTTCAGAACGGGCAAAATGGGGGGTCCACATCGGCATCGAGAAACAGTATCATGCCTTGAAGATTTTGGATCTACGTTCAAACCAAATCGTCCCTTCACGTGATTGTCTTTTCTATGAGCGACCCACCTTGCCCGTCTTTCGTGCCCACCAGGCAGCAGCTGCCAACCCCGCCAGGCTGTTCGAAGGCTCGCGTGCATTTGCAACCGACGAAGCAGAAGCTGCTGTACAAGACGAGGCAGTTTCTGAAGCCTCCGAAGCTGCCGCCACAGACATTCCCGAACCTGTCACGTCGTCTGGCATCCCGGAGTTTATTCCCCTCGCTAATGCTGACCCGGATGACGTTCACGAAGTACACCTCAGTTACGAACGAGATCGTCAATAGCAGCCGATACCCGTTGTCTCCGACGAAGCAGTTCGTGTTACACCTGACGAAATTGGGGGGGAAGAAGGGTCAGAAGAAATTTTCTCAGGTGCAAACGGAGAACGTCCGCGTTTTACAGAAACTGGTTTGTACTTCCTTGGATTCGCAGTTGCAGTACAGTACAACGACAGTAAAATATCTTAACCGAAATAGTTCGACAAGCTCTTACGAGTCCTCACCGAGAAAAATGGCGCAAAGCCATGGACAGAGAGCTAACAGCTCTTAAGAATCGTGGTACATGGGAGCTGATACCGATACCAGAGGTAAAGGGTAGAAAAGTTCTTACCAGCAAGTGGGTCTTCCGTGTCAAGACAAATGCAGATGGAACGTTTGAGAAATTCAAGGCGCGATGGGTTGTCCGCGAGTTCGAGCAGACTTACGGTCTTGACTACGAACTCACCTTTGCTCCCGTCGGTCGACATACGAGTGTTCAAATTCTACTCTGTGTCGCCGCCTGCCGCAACCTACGACTTCGCCAAATCGATGTGGCGAATGCTTTTCTCTACGCACCCGTCGACGCGCTCATTCTGGTAGAGTACCCACACTCGTACACTACTAACCCGCCGAGTGTGTGCCGTCTCAGAAAGTTGCTCTACGGCATTAAGCAGGCACCCCGGCTCTGGCAGCAGTATCTGCATTCACAGCTTCTCACTGCTGGCTTCCGTCAACTACCGCATGATCAAGGGATGTACAGTGGCGGAAACAATTGTCCACATGTTTAGCATATTTTTACATTTTGACGAGTTGTACGCTATAAACATTAAGCCTTAATTCATGGTGGCCATACACGTAGAGAGGAGCAGTTAGAGCACTCACTCAAATCTCCTAAAACTAGAGTAGTATATTTCATGGTCCTTCAAGATGACAACATTTAATAACAGCACATCCGGACAATTTGTACCGGGGACAGGCAGCAAACTAGTTACTAGCAAAACTAGTACCTAGTCAACCGACACTTGGCCTTGATCACCACCTACACCCTCCTAGGCATGTTATCTACGAGGTTAGTGCAAACCTTTACAGGGATCTTCTCGCACTCTTCCTGGACCCACGCTTTTGCATAAGGGGGTGAGCACTAGGAAAATCGCGAAGTATTTGAACGTATGCAAGAGTACTGTGCACGATTTCATGTTGAATGTTATGTCTAAGAGTAGCCATGCTGAGGTGTGGCCAAAGATGCCATTACTCGATTCGTCTCGGCTTATCATGGATCGCCTTCATCGTACCGTTGTAGGTAAAAAGTATGAGCAGAGTGGCGAAAAATTGCGTATCTGCCACGAAACTTAGGGTAACATAGCACGGTTGACAGTGCATCCTTGCACTATTAGAATCACGCTAGGATCCGTAGGTCTTTGAGCGGTGCAGCAGTCGAAGTAGTCGTGACTGGTGGGGAAAAATATCCGGGTTGAAGTCTGGTGAAGAAGAGGGTCACTCCAGCGTAACATACTCGTGTTCTCTAAGCCATTCTAAGCCATGTGTCCTGCCTAGGCTTGGAATGGCTTGGAGAGCATGAGTTTATAGCACTCGAGTGACCCTCTTCCTTACCAGATCTCAACCCGGACATTTTTCCCCACCAGTCACGACTACTTCGACTGCTGCACCGCTCAGACACCTACGGATCCTTGCATGATTCTAATAGTGCAAGGATGCACTGCCAACCATGCTATGTTACCCTGAGTTTCGTGGCAGATACGCAATTTTTCGCTACTCTGCTCATACCTTTTACCTACAACGGTACGATGAAGACGATCCATGATAAGCCGAGACGAATCGAGTAATGGCATCTTTGGCCACACCTCAGCATGGCTACTCTTAGACACTGCCGAGGCCGAAGTTGCTGGGTATTCCAGGAGTTTCCTTGTCTCGGCAGTGTCTTTTTCACGGAGTATGATTTTTTCTTGGCGACTTTCCTTGGCAAAGACAGGTCGTAGGGTGGAGATTTTCCCCTATAGTTTCCTCTTAACCGCGTCGAATCAACTTTGTCGAAGTTGATTTTTCCGGAATCTCTCAGCCGCTTTCGGATCTTTTCTTTTTCGCCACCAAGATCCGCAATCACTGGCAATTCTCGGTTTTCTTTTTCTTTCTTTCTTTTCTTTCTTTCTTTCTTTCTTTCTTTCTTTCTTTCTTTCTTTCTTCTTCTTCTTCTTCTTCTTCTTCTTCTTCTTCTTCTTCTTCTTCTTCTTCTTCTTCTTCTTCTTCTTCTTCTTCTTCTTCTTCTTCTTCTTCTTCTTCTTCTTCTTCTTCTTCTTCTTCTTCTTCTTCTTCTTCTTCTTCTTCTTCTTCTTCTTCTTCTTCTTCTTCTTCTTTTTCTTCTTCTTCTTCTTCTTCTTCTTCTTCTTCTTCTTCTTCTTCTTCTTCTTCTTCTTCTTCTTCTTCTTCTTCTTCTTCTTCTTCTTCTTCTTCTTCTTCTTCTTCTTCTTCTTCTTCTTCTTCTTCTTCTTCTTCTTCTTCTTCTTCTTCTTCTTCTTCTTCTTCTTCTCCTTCTTCTTCTTCTTCGTCTTCTTCTTCTTCTCTTTTATTGGCCAAAGAATTTTCACGACTGTTGCGCGTCTGATACTCTGCACGTGTGGCCTTCATTTTGTTTCATTTGAAGATTCGATGGCCCAGTACCGCGCAAAAATCGCACGAGAACTAGGCATTTTTTTTACGTGGTTGCCTATCGAATCTGCAGACCTCCATCGGGTCGGCGAACGTGGGTTGTGCCGAGCGGTCACCCTATCGCGTACTGCCAACGTGCGCCCGTCGTGTTCCGGCGATGGCCATGTCAAACCGCTATGCTGCCGATACGACGTCACTGTAGCTCGTGTAATTCACCGCTGCCACCTGTCGTTTGACTTAGGTCTTCAGTCCAGCGAGGTACGACTGCACTTTTTCCCCTTAAGTCAGGTCAAGAATTCGGTTATAAAATTCCTCCATCTGCTGTGTGTACTGCGCTACACTCTCGAACTGTCGATGGCGATGATTTTTTTCCTGGGCAAGGAAAATCGAATTTATCGGCTCGAAACATTTCAGCATGTCGGTGCAAAACTGCAGTTACGTGGCTTCACAGTGGATGAAGGTACTATTGTCGCCGATCCACTCGAGTGCCGACCCTCGCATCATCGCCGCGAGTTGCACGCGCTTACCATCCCAAACTGGCGAACTCCATCCGACGGCTACGAAGTACACCTGTACGCTGGCGATCCATCTGCAGACGTCGGGATTCCGATTGCTCGGATCGAACACCTCGGGTGAGCGCGGTTTCAGAGACTCAAGAAACTATTACGACTGTTGCGTCGTCGTCGTTGTCGTTTCATGTTGCACGCCGGCGAGTCGAGTTACTCGCTCGCTTTTGTTTCGCCAAGCTTCGCAGTGGCGATGCAGGCGAAGAGCTGTTGCGTAACCTCGGCTTTGTCGAAGTTCGCCATCCTGTTCAAGGTACATCAGTTAGCCAGATTTATCCTATCCAAAAGGAATAGACCCTTCTAGAAATAGAATCATCCTGCGTATAGTCACGCGAGGCTATTGGCTTCAAGGGATTACGGTAGGATTGCGCTAGATATAGCGTGCGGTACATCCCGAGCCTGGTCGGTGATATAATTATAATAATAGGATAACCCGAAGGATAATGGAAAATGAGGAATAGGAAACCAAATGAGATGAGGGAAAGACCAAATGAATCAAGATAAAAAGGAGAATGAGAGAGAGAAGAATACATAAATTAGAAAGAAGTGTAACGAGGTCGTACTCTCACACTGCCCCCCCTCGTCGGCACTATCTACTTCCTTGTCACCCGCCTCCTTGACCGCCTTGCCCCGGTACGCAACGCGCTCATCGCTCGTCACCCCTTTGAGCTCACCCTTAATCTCTTCTATACCTCCCTGATTGAGGTAGAGGTTTGCCTCCGTGCCATCATTGGTTCCACTAGCGCACAGGCAATCCCTATCTTTCAGGGCAGTGCTCCCTACCAAGTGGTTGTCCCCTCCTGCCTCTGCCTCTGTAGCCGAGACTGCAGCGGCTACCTCTGACCCCGGCCGCTCCTCTAGCGGCAAGGGCAGGGGCAAGGGGGACAAGGGTCGTTGGGGGTCAGCAATAGCGGGTGGAGGGGTGTGGGTGCGGACGGAGAGGGTGGTCAGTCGGAGTCGGGGACTGCGCAGTTGCAGCAGCTGCTACAGCAACAGCAGCAACAGTAGCGGTAGCAGCAGCGGTAGCAGCAACAGTTGCAGCAGCAGCAGCAGCCGCATCTGCCGTGAGGGCTGGCGGGCCCTGGGGGTGGTGGTCGTGGTGGAGACTGTGGGGGTTGGGTCCCAGGGCAGTCAGTGCCCTGGGGGTCATGTGGCTCTTCTGTGAGCCAAAAAGCTGGTGGTTCTTGTAGCGCGGTAACCTGCACGTACCAATTGAGGAGAGGTACGCAGGCGGGCCAGGTGTGCGTGCGCGCGAGGCATACTGCTGCTCACTACTTCCGCCGCCTAGATGACCTCTACCATCGTCACTTTGGCCCGCTAGTGCAGGTACCCTCCTGGACTGTCTTGCTTCGTCGTGGGGTTCCTATCTTTGATATGGATATGATTCAGATCGATCATGCCTTGTATTCTCTGTATTTTGATGCTTCCAGTATTGCTGGTTTGCATTATCCTGTTGTTTGTAGCCCAGGAGCTACTGCTATGTATTGTCTAGGATCCTCTGCTGCGTCAGGCGTAGACTCCCCTGCAGCGTCAGGTGTAGGATCTGTTAGCGACTCTTCACTAGGCCCCGCCACGTTGGCCCTCTCATTTATCCTAGACTCTGGTGCGTCTCGTTGCTTCCTTCGAGACAGTACTGCTCTTAACCCGTTTCCTGTGCCTACACGCGTCGCCCTAGCAGAATCCTCTGCTACAGCTATTGCACGTAGCTCCACCACTCTCCCCTGTCCAGCTGTCCCCTCCGACTCCCTCACCGGTTAGAACATCCCGTCGTTTGCCAAGAGATGTCGGTCACCTCCAGGACCAAGGTGTCACCACTACATTCCCTGGCCGTGAGAGACACGCAACTTGCACAGACACAGCCACCGGTCGCCACTTAGCCTTTATTTAGCATGACCAAGGGTCAGGTCTCTTTACACTGCACACAGAATCCCCGCTGGCCACAGCGTCTGCGAGGTTGCCATGTCCTGCTCCAGATACTCACTAGCGCACCCGACCCTTTTGTGGAACCACCGCTTCGGTCACCCTGCACTCCCGCGTCTTAGGCACATGTCCCTGTATCACTCCCCGCCCTGCCTAGGTCTGTAGCAACACAGTGCACCTCCTGTGTCGAGGGCCGGCAGCGCATCGCCCCTCACTCCTCCTCATTTCCTACTACCACAGCGCTGCTACAGACACTGCACATGGACGTCTAGGTCCCTGCTGTTACAGGATCGAATGAGGTTTGCTCAATGTTGCACTATCCATGAGGACAAGGTGCTTTTATACTTCCACATTACATCAGGTAACCAGGTTTATCCTATCCAAAGGGAATAGGCTATTGGCTTTAAGGGATTACGACAAGATTACGCTAGATATAGCGCGCCACTACATCCCGAGCCTAGTCAGTGATATAATTATAATAACAGGATAAACCAAAGGATAATGGAAAATGAGGAATAGGAAACCAAAAGAGATGACATAAAGACCAAATGAATGAGGATAAAAAGAGGAATGAAATAGAAAGAAAATATGGAAAGGGGAAAATGGTGTAACGGGGTCATACTCTTACACTTCCCCCCCTCAAAGCTGGGTGGTAGAAGTAACACCCCGCTTGACAAGGTAGTCGCAAAGAGGACGACGGGCATTACCCATGTCGAATTCAGAGACACAGCCTCAGAAGTATCATAACCTTTCCATCAAAGAAGAAGCTCCACAGTGCCATTCTGACGACGGCGGTGTCCGAGCACGTAGTTGTCTTATGGCGTGGATGAATACGGGCGGTGACGGTGGTTGGCATTCGGTGTACAGCGTGTTTGGTCTTGATAGGGTTGTAGAAGCTGGGATGGAAGGCGTTATGGATCTTCCAAGTGGCTGGTAGGCAGAAGCGGAAGGTGATTGAAGTGACCTTTGCTTCAATGAGGGCATACCCGCAGAAGCAAGGTTGAAGCATGAATGGAAGATGGCTGATGTCGAGATTATGGTGTGGATAACTGTGGTGATGAGTGGCCAAGTGCTTATGTTGTTGTTGGACGTTCAAGAGGCGTGTCCAGTGTTAGAGCTGATGGAAAACGGTGATGAAATGGATTTGTCGGTTGTTGTGGTGTGAAGAGGTTGCGTCTATAGGTGGTACGCGGATGGCGTTGATCGTGATCGAGATGTTGTAGTGGAAGAGTAGATGTACTGTCCTTTCGGTGGGTGCTCTAGCTGGCACACCGTAGCATGCGCTGAGTCTCGGGTAGCACATCCCAGTGTTACGCGCATCCCGTCCACGTATGAAGATGACTAAGTATTGATGGTATGCTGTCGTGTCATTGTCCTGCTTCTGTAGCAGCGTTGTATCAAATACATGCAGCTTCTATCGAATGCTGGTCCATGTCATAGTGTTGTCGCAAGTTGTACCCTCTCGGCATTGTAGTATTGCGGGATGGAGAGCAAATTCACTAGTTGCAATTCTGTCCCCCACACGGTCTGCTAGTCACACTGCCTTGAGTACAACTGCGCATGCGAAGAGCTGCTCGGCGTATCCCTTGTATTCAGAACCATGCAAGGGGTTGGTACCACGAATGCGGAGTTGGTAACTTCCAGAATCGACGCCAAGGTAGTTTCCCTCGGCGGTTGCTCAAGCAAGGAATCTCAGTTGCGTAAATATCCCATGGTGATGGGTTAGGATATCTGGGAATGTTAGGGGTATTCCCAAGTAATCCTCTCCCATTTCCAAATGAGCATTGGTGACAGCCAATCCAGTATGACCTTATGCACTTCCAGTCTAGCAGGGAGGCCATCGGTAGGCATCGGTGTCTGGGCGCACATATTGGGATAGGTCTTCTTGTGCCATCATGTGTTGTCTCATTCTGTTACCGTCCTTGAAGTAGCGTTGATGTCGAAGATGTCTCAGCTACTCAGCATCGGTATTGATGTCTGCTCCATTTCGGCAAACAGGGGTGTTTTTAGAGATACGCGGAGTCCACCATCCAGAGTTGCGTCGGCGCTCCATTTCACGCCTATGTGCTTCCGTGGAGGTGGTGCTGGTGATGGATTGGTTGCGACGCAGGTTTTATGACTGACATAACAGTCAATGGCCATGAGGACTTTTGAGGTGGTAGAATACCGTAGTCCTCCCATCCTCATAGGAGCATATATCTCCTACTCTTGATGGTATATGGCATTGCCATAGCTCTTCCAGTGCATAGTGGTAACTCCTTCCCACTAGCTGGAAATCATTGTATTGTGACTGACCAGGACTTTACTATCATACAAGAACATAATCCAGCATTATCTCCATTGAGCGGAGAATCATCCATCAGGATTTGGTTTTGAGTGTTGTGTTGAGTCTTCTCCTGCGACGGCGGCGACGGTAGCGACGATGGCGACGGCGGCAGCTGCTGCAGAGAATTCTCCCAACTCGTACTGGTAGAAGGAGAATCCATCAACTCCCTCTTCCCAGTAGAGTGTTCATGATGGGTGTAACAGGCGTAAATACCAAGAACACGTGCACATTAGTACACATGTGTTGCTCCATTGCTACTGGTGATTGTTTCATTTGAGGGTGTGAAAATAAATTTGCTTCTCCCCTCAATGTATCCACGGGTAGCAATTCTTGGTATGCTCATCCGTGGCTCCGATGTACGGTCGGTAAGGCGCGTGATCATGTTGTAGTAGTCCGCATCTCCCTTATTTGTTGACACCTCGTGTTGCTTGGCATTCTCCTGCATCGTCGAAGTTACGCTGATGCTTGTAACGCTTCGGCTTCTGGTAGAATCGCCTCCAATGCATGTGCATCAGGGTCGCTAGTGAACGAGAACGTACCGGATTTGAGGTTAATTAATCCTCAATCTATCAAGCATCGTGACATGCACATAACATTTTCCATGCAGGTCATTAGCACCTGGAATCGTGATGCATGATTGGTGTGTCGTCTCGTGAGGTTGATGTTGAGACTGCTCCAATCAATCACTTTGGATGGCTGAGATTCTTGATTACGACGAATCGATCAGCTCTTGTTACGAACGAGTGTCTTGCTGGCCTTGACGAGACGGGTTCACTTCGTCGTCGTTGCGTGCGAAATCTGCTCCTTCGCAGCAACTTGAACTTGGGAGTATTGTAAGAGAAAACGGCTACTTTTCTGCAACCCCATGGATTGTCGATCAAATTTATGAGATGAAGTGTCTCATGGATGGAGAACATGTCTTCACGCAGCTCCATTATTCCCTGGGTGAAGATCTTGCGGTGTTGATGTCGATCCATTTTTAACACAGATGACATCGTCAAAATATATCGTATCGTTATCAACACTAGTTAGAAGATGCGTTGATTGTGCAGTTGCTGGTCACAAATGTTGTCTCCATGATGATGTTTTCCCATAGTGTAGTCTCCGCTGCATTCGTGCCGTTGATTCCGCAACGATCCGACAATCCAAGTTCTCCTGTCAGTTTTCTGCTTGCAGCTATTACCAAGTAGGTAATACTCCGGCAGATTTCTGACTCTGCAGATTATTTGCGCGCGAAATTCATGACCAAATGGAGGAATCCGAATTTGGTTGTCAACATGACGTGAATGTTGTCGAAGGCGGCTGATTTCTGGTTCTGCGCGTCATTCTCCCTTTAAGCAGAAGTCGCGCTCCATCTCGTCTGTTGAAGCAGAAGTCGATCCGATGGTCCAAACTCCAAGTGATCTGAAGATATTCCTGAGTTGCGTTCAGCAGCTTTCAATGCCCGGGTGGACTCGTTTCCTGCAGCAATTCTCGATCGTTGATGTCGGCTGTCGAAAGATCTGATACTCCGAAGAATTTCGCGGCTTGCGAGGTCCTGTTCCCATTCGCGCTGAAACTCGATCTTGCTCAGAAGGATTTCATTTCGCCTCGGTCGATCTGAAACGTCGCATCTCCATCGGACGGATGTTGTCGGTCGCTGCTCCGCACATTTCCGCGCAACTCCAAGTGTCGTGGCAAACTGCGAACTTCTCAGAATGTCGTAGGGAGTGTTCCGCCAGAAGTGACGCGTTCGCGAGGTCGAGGCCGTTTGCCCCCGTGAAAACATCTTCACCGTCGATGCAGTCCATCGAACGGTTGGCGAGGCGTCTCGCCTTCGATGGGGACCCCAGGTGCAACTGCGCGAGGTTAGTCGAAACTTAAATGAATTTGCGTTGTACTTACAGGAAACGAAGTTTCGACTCCATCCTTGGCATGCTCCTGGGGGCCCAGCGGTTAAGCGTTGAGCTGAAACCTTGGCTCTGATTACCAAGTGTCACAGGATCGAATAAGGTTTGCTCAACGTTGCACTATCCATGAGTGCAAGGTGCTTTTATACTTCTATATTATATCAGGTAACCAGGTTTATCCTGTCCAAATGGAATAGACCCTTCTAGAAATAGAATCATCCTGCGTTTAAAGCCCGCGGCCCAAATTGCGAGGCGCGGCCTTCAAACGCACTGCGTTTGAAAGTAGCGCTTTCGTGGGTGTAGAGTGGGGTAACGGGAGTCTCGCCACTCTGGGGTGCCTTTCAAGTTCACTGCCTGCTGCAATTTGGAACTCCATGTGTAGCACATTTATTTACCGTCCATTTTTCACAGATCTGCATCTGACAGTCCGCACACAAACTCTTCTTTCCAAAGCACCACCAGTAATTCGGGGATCAATCTCAACCGTCCAAAATCTTGGGGTCAAATCTGACGGTGCACGAACACTTTGCAGTTCACGAGGAAAAACACCCTCGCGATTTTCCCGTGCGTTTCGTAAAACAGCACGCCCAGAGTTCTTACACAGTGCGTTTGAACAATTTGGGCCGCGGATTTTAGCCACGCGAGGCTATTGGCTTTAAGGGATTACGGCATGATTACGCTAGATATAGCGTGCCAGTACATCCCGAGCCTGGTCGGTGATATAATTATTATAATGGGATAAACCAAAGGATAATGGAAAATGAAGAATAGGAAACCAAAAGAGATGAGATAAAGACCAAATGAATCAGGATAAAAAGAGGAATGAAAAAGAAAGGAAATATGGAAAGGGGAAAATGGTGTAACGGGGTCTTAGTCGGGCGCACTACTTCCTAGTCGTCGTTGACGATTTCTCGCGCTTCACCACAGTGTTTTCGTTGGAGCGGAAGGCCAACATGCCTACCGTTCTCCTCTCATGGCTTCTTGCTATTCGCACCCACCACCGCTTGCCTGTAGGTCACTTACACTCTGACCGTAGTGTGGAGTTTACCTTTGACACTCTAGGATGGTTCTATCTTACGAAGGGCATCCGCAAGACGTACGCATTGCCGGAATCCCTACAGCAGAATGGGGTCACTGAATGACGCATCGGCCTGGTCATGGAGGTAGCTCGCATCTCGGACTGGCTGTTCTACTGTACCACCCGCCACACCACCGCTTATACCACTCTCTTGTAACGTGACCTTTGACGAGACCTTCCTCTACTTTGGACGCTTTCCGTACCGCAGCGCTTCTGTGCCTCCTCCTCCTCTCTTCCTTGTCCTTGCTCTGCCTACCGCACCACTCCCACCCCACCTTGCCCAGTCTAGTGTCTCCCACACCACTCAATTCACCTCGGTTGGGCCCATGGGGAAGTCGGCTGGCTCTGGGGACCCAGCTGCTTGGGGCGTGCCTGCTGTCCCTGTCACGCCTCCCCCACCCCCGGTACCCCAGGCACCTCAGCCGCCTACCCCCTTGCCTCCATAGAAACAGCAGTCGTCACAGCCGTCTCAACAGCCGTAGAAGTAGCAGCATCAGCAGTGAGCAATGGGCTCTGGGGTTGCTGGTTTTGGGGTTGCTGGTGCTGGAGGTGCGAGTTCTAGGGGTGCTGGTACTGTGGGTGGTTCGTCCGAGGGTGCCAGTCCTGGGGGTGCTATTTTGGGGAGTGCCGGTGGTAGCCGAGGTGCAGCTCGAGGTCCTAGAGAGGACAGGGAGCAGTGGCAGCAGCATCAGCAGCAGTAGTCGCAACAGCAGGAGCAGCCACAATCTGCCCTTCTCCTCCTTGGTCTTGCTCTAGGTTCCCCTGCCTGCAGGCCGGTCCCTCCTCTGGTGCGTGCCCCTGTTTATGGCCTGTTGTTCCCTCCTCCGGACTCCTCTTCGGCTCGTTTTCCCCCGCGCTCTCCTCCGTCCCCTGACTTGTCCCCCGTCCCAAATCCCCAATTCTTCCCCACTATGTCCGTCGTCCATCTGGTGCTCGTCCTGTCTGTCCTCGTGCTAGTGTCCACCCTATGGTCCTTCGTTCTCGTGCTCCTCCAGTCC